TTCCACGTCATATAAGTGTGATTTAAATATGCAGTAGGAACCCAAACATCTGATCCAACATGTAGTTTTAACAGTCCATGTGGATGTTTTACGTGTAAGCCTTTTGTTTTGAAAATAAAAAAATCACCAAAATTCTCCTGCACGTGAAAACCTTGGAAGCACAGAAAAGGCAATCTACTTGCGGTTTCCGTTCCCGAAACGTTGGGAAATGCCAGAAAACAGCAGGGAAACGCCGGGAAATGTTTCCAAGGTATTGGGCACTTGGGCTGGGTTGGGGAAACATTTAGGAATCGGATTTTAATTGAAGCGAGTCATCTCTCAAGTTTCAAACCTTTAGTCGGGCAGTCGGCCACACTCCCTATCAGCAAACCTTGCTGAAACGATACTTGCGATTTTGTGAATCGGCAAAAAGTGAGAAGTCAGAGAAGACAAACAGTCCCCCAAATGATAGTTGCTATTTGCTAATTAAAGTAAGGTTCAGCGTTACCTTTCACCCAAAACAAAATCCCTAACATATCAAATTGAATCATCAATATCTAGTGATTTGAAATAGGGGCCATAACATCAATGGTCATCATCATCATCATCATTACCCTAGTGTTGCAAAGGCTCTCACACCTTCGGTGGGGTAAGGGAGGGTCAGATGTACGCAGTCTTATCTCTATACTAAAGCACAAAGAGACTATTTTTGGATGACCCGTAGTGAAAATCGCGTCGGAAATTCCGTGGACTGACTGCTGCTTCATCATAACAAAGAAGCGCAGACAGTTTAGTAAGCCATTTTGCTTTATTCCATCTGATTTCCAAGCCAAAAAATAGTGAGTCTTTGTCTCCATTGCAAATGATGGAAAGGCCATAACATCAATGGTCAACAATAACAACATCATCCAAGCCTTAATCCCAAAAGAATTTGGGGTCGGCTAACATGAATCAATCTAAAGATAAACAATAACATAAGAATATAAGAAAGATAAAAGATAGAAAAATAAGAGCATAAAAAAGGTAGAAGATAAAAATAACATAAGAATATAAAAAGATAAAGAAGATAAACGATAAAAGAAAAGAGAGGAAATGTAGAAAAGATATCAATCGTCCACACGGATGTGCGCCCTCCACTTTGCTCTCTTCTAAGCCATACTCTCATCCAACCCAAGAAGACGCATAGCTATTATAAAAATTAAAAAGTGGGCTGAGTAGGCCCAAATAATACTCTAACACCCTGATCTCCTATTGCGTATGCCTCACTCCTAGCGCCATAAACAATGCCTTTTACGCCATAGTCCAGGAATTAACCGAGGTGCGCCATGAGGCGCAATTGAGTTGCGGAATAACAAACAATGGAGTCAGCATGTCAAGTGTTCTGTTTTCCTGTTTTACATGAGTTCAGATATGGTGCATTGGAGATGCAAATATCAGAAGCAATGTTGAAATTGATGATGCAACAATTTTTATTAATGTGAACAGGGTACCATTGGTGATGCTCTTATGTAGAAAACTTTGTACTCCCTCAGCTTCCATCCCATCCAAAAAATTAAAAGTATAAATATGCTTCATGAATTTTGACATTTGCACTAGCAAAGTTGAAATGATTTTCCTTGATTAAAAATAAATCTTTCTTTGGGACAGAGGTAGTCTGGTGTACGGCGTACATGATTTTAAACCACCATTTTGACTAGTTCTCAGTGAAGAAGATTGTATTACATTTCCTTGCTTGTTTTTGTCAGATGATGATGTACTTGATACGGGAAAAAAGCTTCAGTTGGATTTCCAAAATCTGAACTCAAAGGGTAGGATGAAAACTTGCTATACGTGACTTCAATCTGCTGGATCTGTTGGTTGCCTTGGTGATTGAAAACATCCTTACTTCTCTTTAAACTATAGGTATCCAAGTTAACATGGACATGAAGGTTTTGGGCTCGGGGGCGAAGATGGCTCTGGCAGGAGCACGAAGAGGAAAAGTAACTGCTGGCAAAGCTGCAGAAAAAAGCAGTGGCTCCAAAAGAAAGAAGTGAAGTAACGGTGTTATTTTTGAACGATGCTTTTGAGTAAACAACCTCACAAACAGCATTTGCTAAACATGCTTTTGAACGATGAAATTGGTGAGAGTTAACCCTGTTATTTTTGGATTGCTGATTATGAGTTTTGTTTTCTCCGAGGACTATTAGCCTGTCTTCTATACATCATAATTGTTTTCGTGGTTGGTTGGTCACTTGCTAGGACTAGGGTTGGACTGGCTGGTTGGGTTATGTTATACTACCTCCATCCCGAAAAGATTTGCCATGTTGATATAATTTTCATATTCAAAATAATTTCGTGTTCAGAAAATATCATTGGTCAAAGTTGATTGTCATTAGTCGAGAAAAGTCAATTTGACAAACCTTTTTAGGACGGAGTATATTTTTAACGGGAAAAGGACAAGAGTATTACACTATTACCTCTAATAGATATTTTCCAATTTTCTATTTTTGTTTTCTTCAATTTTCTGTTTTCATTTTGCATTTTATCCATCTCTAATTTTCTGTTTTCATTTTTTTCGTTTTCCATTTTCAAATCTGAAAGCATGTTCATCAAATTTTTTCAACCGATTTTTGTGGCCGACTAGAAGACTGAAAATACGGTCACGAACTCACGGTCGATCTCAACGATTAGTTTGATCGGGACCGGCCAATTTTGTTACGGACCGGATGGAGACTGTTAGGTCATCGATCAGACCAGAACCGTTGGGTCGTCGATCAGACCAGGACCGTTGGGTTGTCGACTGGACCAGATTGGGATTGTCGGGTTGTCGATCGGACCAGACTGGGGTCGTCGAATGGTCCGGATCAGGATTGATCGGCCGTTTAAATTACTCAAAAAAAGTCTTCGAGTTTTTTCCACTACGGATATGTTTGGGAGTTTGGGAGTGAGAGAAGGGAGGCTTTGAAGGGGAGTAGAGAGAAGGGAAGGGGAAAGATGGGAAGGGATTTAATTAAAATAACACATTTTACCCCTCTCCCTCTGTTGCTTTGATATTTTTCCTTGAAAATTTGTTTCAATACTTGTACAAATCATAAAAATGTTTGGTAATACCAACTTCAAAATAAAAAATTCTGAAAATACCAAAATCGGTTTATTATTACACTATTCAGCGCGCGAAATAAAAAATTACGTATCTGATGAATATTTGTCAATAAGCCTGATAAGTCAAAAAACATAATCACGAAACGAGATCAATGTTATTTGTTAAAACATCATAATGTTTATTTAAATAATGACAATATTTAAATTAACATTTCAATTTGACTAACTATATATTTAATGATCAAACCAAAATTTTTTCGTTTTAAAAAATATATTTAATAATAAAAGTAATTAACGTAATATATATCTATTAACTAATTATATACCCGAACTTTTGAAAAAAATTAAAGCAAATTGAAAATTGAAAATATAAAAGAAGACAATCGACTTCAAAGATTATGGGACAATGTTATCTTAGTGTATTAAGTTTCACATTTTATTTCAAGAACTAGCAATTATATTTATCCTCTAGCACAATCCAGTCAATAACATAAAAAAGTCAATGACATTGAAATAAGTTTTACTTCCGCACACACTTGCCTTCACTGATATGGCCTGCAACCAAAAAGAAAAATTGGTTGATATACTATCTGAAAGTTGCAAGTAATAATTACACAAACAAAATACATTTATCATCACTTTTACCATCATGATCAAAATTATAATTTTAATAATTTAACAACAAACAAAAATCTCACACTCCAAAACTATCATTTTTAGTTAACAACAAAAATAATCCAATCTCAAACATCTTCATCAAAGGAGTTGTATATATTAAAAATATAGATAAGATAAATTGTTGAATTGTAACCTATAGGCTGCTATTTCCCTTCCTTTAGCTCTATGGGAGCCTTTGAATTGTTCAAACTACAGCATGCAATAAGGTGGTGCAACAACAATGGTTTTACACAGACAGAAAAAGTGCATCGTAAGCTTGCTATTTCTAGACCTCTTCCAACAATTCTGCACTAACATGTTTTTATTAAAAAACAAACACTTGTTATGTTCTTCCTTACAACACTATGCATGATTTAGGATGCATAGTGCACTAACATAATACATGACAGTTCCCCCTCTTAAAAATAAGGATTGCTATTTTTTTTAGTTTTTTCATCTCAATCAACTTATAATTGAACATTTGATCATAGGGGCAGATTTTTTTTTTTTGAATTTTATCTTGATAAATAATTTATAAACTCATACTATGTACGAAGTATAAGACATGGGCTCAAAATTCTGCTAATAACACTAAACTTTGTTGTCTATATCCATGTTGACACACAAAGTTTATAGAAGAATAAGTTGTATTAATATTTAAAATTCACCCAAAAGAACAAAGAGTTTCGACAATTTGTGATATAGTTTTAAATCAAAACTAGTATTTCACCCGTGCGTTGCACGGGATGTAATTTTGAATTATTATGTGAGTGTGATTGTGTGAAGGTTATTTCGCTTGGACACTCCAATATCTGCTTCTCTTTCCTAAGGAAGCAAATGCTATTTTAAGTAGATTATTTTAGTTTGTTCATACCAAGAGAATAGTCATAGAGTTAAGAGATAACAAACTTAACAATTAAAACGAAGCTTTACAATAAAATCTACCATCACATCTTTCACAGTTTAGCTTAGATACTTTACTATTTCAGTAGCTTATTTTAATTTTTTTTGTCATTATAAATATAGAAACAAAATAAAAAGAAGAGAAATTCGAAAAATTTTAAGCAAGTCTTGAGATATCAATTCTATACGCTGTCATATGCATATGATCAAGTTACATCAAAGTGTTCTTGCAAAATAAACAAAACGTAACCACAGAACTCCCATGAAGTGTTTAGATAATTTTAAGGGTTTTTAGGACCAATTTGAAATTCTCTTTTCTTCTCAAGTACTCCATATATAAACATAGATGGAAGATAAGATTCAAAAAATAAAACGAAAAATCCATAAAGCACAAAGTTTAGATTTCATAAGATCAGAGTACCAAAAAATACAAAGTTTACAAAAGATGGTCCAATGTGACAAAATGAAAACATGTTAATTAGTGCACACACAAAAACTCAACCCATTTCCAGTCCATCCTCAATTGACTTTCGATTTGGGAACCTTCTTCTTCACTAATGTTCTCCTTGTATTTAAATTCTTGATGCCAATGAAAAACAGGAAAGCCATGGATTTGTTCTCGGACTTCGTATCTCTCCCTAACAACGAAGGGGACAAACTTATGAATATTACAGTGTAAATGAATGTACATACGTATTGCGATATAATACATGTGGTATAAAATGTTCTGATAGGACAAATATTTCAATGATCTGTCAACTTTCTACACTCGATGATGTCTTCATAGTCAGACATGGGCCTATCATTTGATCATGTTTTTAGAGAAGGCAATGGGCCGGCTCATTTTCTAGCGGCCCATAGGATTGAACAGGTCCTTTGTGTTCGTTTTGGTCGGGTTGGGCTTTTTGCCTAGCCGGGTTAAAACGAGTTATTATGCTGATCTTTTCGGAATGCCTAGGTTCAGGTTTTAATTCGTTTTTTTTTTAAATTTTGGGTCAGGCCTAGCCCCCCCAAAATTTCATTTATTTTTTTCTTTTTTCTCTTTTCGCTATACCTTTGTTGAGAGGTATTGGTCAGGTCCCCCTCTTTCTGTATCCGTCTCAATATTAATAAAACACCGGAAAATGTCCCCCGGCATTTGCCCCACCAAATGGGTGGTTTGCCTTCCGGGGTAAAAAAAAAGATGTCTTCATAGTCACCCGGAGAGGCACCATCTTGGGCTCCTAGCAATACCACACCCCCACAATAGAGAAACGTTTTTTCAGTTTAATAAATAGACTAGTCGGTGTTACGCGCGTTGCGCGATGGGCTAAATGCCCAATACAATTTAGTAGAGTATTTCTTAAAGTAAATATATTAACTTTTATTTAAATGTGGTATGTGTGTGTGTCTTCACTTCAATTTAAACGAAATTAATAAACTGTGACTAAGGTCTAAAAGTACATCATTGGTTGAAAGTTGAAAAAGATCCCTATTTATTAGTGAAATCTAGTATGGGAAAAATACGGCAATATGAGTAAAAGACACGGAGTTTCCCATATTATGACTAAAAAACTTGTTTGACGTGAATATGACAAAAAGTCATTGGACATGAGTAACCGGTCTCCTGAACTCCAAATGAAATGACTTGATTGCCCTCACGTGTTTGTGTTCATAGAGTTTAAACAAAAAAGGAGTTTCCATCTGAAACGGAAACTAAACGTTATTTATGCACCCAAGATTGAAAATTTATTGCAGTAAAATACCGGAAGGATACTCTTTCCTTCTAGTCTTCTACAACCACACATCAAACAGCAAATAGATGTAGTGAAGACGAAGGACAACACCGTTCCGGTGATAGTGGAGCAGTGCAGTGAGGATACAAATTTATGGCATTATAACCGGACTGTGGGCATTAGACTATTTATAGATGTTTTCAAAATTAGTCAATATTTGAAGCACTAAGGCATTAGTTTTTTTTAATGAATCAAAAGAGGTTGGGCAATAGTTTAATGCAAAACAATAAAAACTAATCAAGAGAGGGCCGGGGCAGTAAGTTGGTTATGCAGTAAAGTTGGTCATTAAAAAAAGAGAATCATAGTAATTTTGTTTACGTAGTGGCATTGGTCGATTAAAATAAAAGAAGGCAATAAATTTTTTGTGCAGTAATATTAGTCATTAAAACAATAGGGTGATAGTAATTTTGATTCAGTAGTGACATTGGTCAGTTAAAAATAAGAGAGGGACAGTAAAATGATCAATAACATTGATCAGTAATAAAATGATATTTTTCCAATAAAAAGAGCAGTAAAACAGTTTCGTAGTTATTAAGGGCAATAAAAACGTACAGAGCAGTGAGTGACCTTGTATGACATTTATGGAAGAGCAAGTAAGATTTACGATTGTATAAAAAATAATATAATAATGCAATAGTTACCGAAATCTAACGGAGTAAAGATAAACCCTACTTTTTAGGATTAGTGATTAATATGGTTGTATGATCATGAGTTGTATAACCGAAAAATAAGCAAAGAGAAATTTTCCATCTATATCTTTGATCTATCTATGCAGCGTGTGTTTAAAGGGTAGCAGTGGAAATTAATAGTAATAATAATAATTAAAAAAAAAGTGTGTTTAAAGGGTAGCAGTGGAAATTAATAGTAATAATAATAACATTAAATGACCGTGCGTCTCATTACCGCATCAAACTAGGAAAAAAAGTGATTAAGTCATAGATTGAGAAATAGATGATCTTTTGGTTATATGAGAGACAATTTTCTCATCTAGTATAGTTCATTGGACAAGGTGATTAACTCCTCAGGATTTTGGTAGTGAACTGCTTAGGGGGACGGGGGCATAGAAGATTTGTCCTGCCACCCGGGCCCATAATCAAAATTCGGAGCTTAGCAAGTTCCCTCGTTATCTGTCTTATCTTACAAGCACAAATGTTGGGTTTGCCATTTTTTCTTGGTGTTTAATTATAAACCTCTAAAGAAATTAGCACACATAAACTCACTTTCGCTTTCATCAACACCATGATAAAGTGGATGCTGGTATCTACCATGGTCACTGTCTGCACCTCCAGAAGTATCCTCCAGCAATTTCCTATCATGAAGAAACTCGGGCACCACGGGACTGTCACCATTAATGCCACTTTCTACTGCTTCCGGAACCTCATCTAACTGTGACTGTTGTTTTACTTCTATTCAAGTCCATATTAGACAAATTCGGGTGCAGTTGTTAAGTGAGAGGATCTGATATAAATAACTTTTACCAGTAGCTGATGGCTGCTGAATCAAAGGCCAGTCATCATGTTGAGCTCCAGATGGCGGCCTCGGAGCAAAGTTGTGTCTGGCACTGACCGGTTGCGATGATTCACTACTTGGAACATGTGGAGCCTTATTTTGCAGCTTACCCATCTTAACAATATTGGTCATTAGCATTTTCCCTGGGACACTTACCCAACTGACTTGTTGGTCTCAGTATCAATAGCATCAATGTAAGTCTGTAATCCATACATTGAAGCATTACAACATCAACATCCAAACATTATTCCCAAAAGATTTTGGAATAAAAATAGAACAAGCTGCAAAAGATGAAAGCACATAGGATAACCCATATAAAAACTACCATGGATCACAATCAGTTTAGTTGTTTTACCAATTAATTAACAAAAACAGAATGATAAAAATTTCACACTTATGAAAGCTAAGGCAGATTAAAACTCTTTATGTTAACGCCCGATGGAATATTAGAATATTAGATACAGTTCCCAAAAGGGTAATACATACAACTCTGAACCAATTGAGGCAAGAAAATTTACCTACAAGGCTACAACTAATCCTTTCTATTTTTTATTAAGCAGATTTGTTTTTAGGAATGAATGAATACATTTGAATGCATTACATATAGCTGCAACGGCAAAAACAATTAGAAAGATTTCTTTAAGGCTATTCAGTTGACCATTTATGGCTATTCAGTTGACCATTTGAATACAAGTATGTTTTTAAATATTTCTTTAAGGCTATTCAGTTGAATGCATTTATCATATAGCTTTATCATATAGCTTAATAAATAAAATACTTCGTAAGAGAAGAAAGCCTGAGAACAATAGAAGGAGAAAGGATAACTTGCGTAAGAAAGAAAAAAGGGTCATCTCATTCATTTCCTAGAAAATAGGACCCACTCCCTTTCCAAAATACCATCAATAGCCTATTGCTGTTGAATGAGATTTCTCCCTTTATCCTTCCTATCCCTTTATCTTATTATTACTATCATCTAAAGTGAGCTTTCAACATCAAGCTACATGTTTTATCCTTTACTACTTTAGTTCAAATAAGACTTATTAATTACAATCATCTGATGATTTCTCAACAGATTTTGTGAGCATGAAGCTTCGTTTCCTGACAAAGTGAAAGGATTGGATGAAAGAAAATTCACTATGGGACAGTAAAATAAAGGTTGTGTTACTATATCACATAAAAGCAGTGTTGTTTGATTTGGAAGTTGAAAATCCATTACTTATAGTGAACATAGCAGAGAGTTCTTAAAACGCTGTCATTGGCATAAAGCTATATGATAAAGAAGTGCATTAGAAGTAAGGCCAAAGGAACTCATTGATAAACTGTAAAAGTAACATGAACTTCTAAGCATCCAGTCCAACCGATATGTCCTATTTAATCAATGAAAAAACGAAGCCTAGTGAAATTAAAGTGTATAGAGTTAAACTATTAAAGTGAACCGTTGATACCAATAACATTAGTACAATGATCCTTCTTTACTTCCAGAGAAAATTAATAAAGTAATAACAGCTAAGCAATTAAAATGCTTGTAATGCATAAGGGAAATACCAGGTGACAGAAATTATTGAGGTGACATACAAGAATTGGGAGATTTCTTTAGCCAATCCCTACCAACTGATCTTTAACCAAGACACTTATCAGTTATCATGCCCTCTCGGGTCTCACAACTGTTGAGGGGGAGCACCTGCAAATCAAGGAAGGTGAGCATTAATTATTCACAACTTCAATTAGGATGAATGGTGAATCGAACAAGATAGAAACACATAAAATAAAATAAAATTGGATGACGAATCGAATAACACAATTGGACGGCAAATCGAATAACACAGACACAAAAAAAAGAAACGGATCAAGGAAGATAGAAGTGATTCAGGCTGCTGCTGCTATGCGAATCAGGAAGCTATATGTTTCTCAGTGAAAAACATGGCTTAAGTGCTCTGGGAAGCACTCGTCTCCATCGAAAACACATTTGCCCTGTGTATGAATAGATAGATTAGGGATTTGGAAGTGAAACCAAGACGGAGATGCGTAAAGAATAAACACGGAGGAGATGGCGTAAGTAAACAGTGGATTTAGTTAACGGAAGGCGCGGGTAGTGCACTGAACAAATAGCCATTGTACTAAACCTTTTCCATAATGTATAAGCATATATAGCTACAATGTTACACCAACACAATTTCATTCCCATAAGGGTACTAACCCTCATTGATGTTTATAAGGTTTTATTTATTATTTATATTTATATATTATATTTATATTTATTAGATACATGCTGTTTTCACTCAAAAAATGAGTTTATACAAAATATCTTTTTCACTCATTAATTTAGTGATAGAAGTCCTTACTTTATAGTTCAAATCCCTTTTACAGTTCAACTCGACTCACAAATTCAGAAAAATTCCTGAATCGTTGAAAAGTTTATATTTGTATATGAGGAAAAGATTTGATTCGTTCAACGGAATATACTAAAGGGGAGCCCAAGATAGATTTCTATAATAAAGATCTTAAAAAAGAATTTGGAGTGTTGATAAATCCTGCTATAGAGAGTACGTGGTACCCCTTCGGAATTGATAGAAATAAAAATAGAATAAGTACTTGAGCTTATGAAGAAGATATAGAGAATGGTATCCCTTCAGAAAATGAAAGAGCGCGTTGCAGAATGTAGCATTAATAAAGGAGCCTAATAACCTATAATCTTAGAATTTTTAAGCCTATTATCTGTTGGGTGTGTTTTGGAAAATAAAGAAAATTAATTAAAATAAGTTAATTAAAGGAAAAATTGATAGTAATAATCTCAACTATTGGCGGTCCGCTCATAATAATCTCAACTATTGATTATTACAGAATAATCCCAACTTTAGGGACCTTCCGCCAATAATGGTCCCTATGAATAAATTCTTGTAGTTTCTAAAGTGGATGAGATGGGATATAACAAGTAATCCCTATAAATAATCTCAACTTTTAATTTTTACGCTTAATTTCTATTTGAAATTCACTTTTTATAGAGGTAATATATGGTCATGGACCATTATTAGCGGATAGTCTATATAGTTGGGATTATACAAAAATAATCAATAGTTGGGATTATTTTCAGCGGACCAGCAATAGTTGAGATTATTGTTTTCAATTTTTCCTTAATTAAATAAAATGACTAGAGAAAACAAGAAAAGAGATGGAGCAGAATTTGTCAAAGCTCGTGCTACGCACGATGCCCTTAAAATGTATTTGTTGCCTCCCACGGTGCTAGGAGCGTTGCAACAATAGTTTCCCAGGATACGATGACAACGAACTAATGTTTGAGCACACAAACAAGAGTTCCAACGAACGAGAACAAAGACTGAACACAAAAGGAATTTTCCGAATGCTGGAGGGTGTTTTTGAGGTGCAAAACGTGAATGGAGTGTCTAAATTCGTGTAAGATCGTGTAAGAACGTGTGTTGTTGCAAACCACCTGCCAGCCATTATATAGGAGGATTTGTTGTGTGTAAATGGTGAATTAATGGACCTGAACGTTGGACATCAATGACCAGTCCGTTGGGCATTGAATCGTCCATGAACTGTCCATTTAACGCTGCATTAAAAGATATAAACGTTGGGCATTAATTGTTGTAACGTTTCAGAAGCGCGACAGAAGACCTCCATCAGAACACCCCGGGAGGGGTTCTGATCGGAGGCCAATCAGAAGACCCCAACTCTGATCCGCGGCCATCAGAGTACCCCCAACTCTGATGGGCGGCCAAGTCGCGGTTTTTCTTCTCCGAATTCGGGATTTGATTTGCACCCCCCCTGCGCGCGTGGAGAGAGCCTTTACCCTTAAGAATCTTAACTCCATAAGGGGGGAGTCCATTTATAAAGGGTAGCAAATCCCTTGGGTTTTCCGGTGTGGGAAATTAACACACTAGAAACCCATCCTTTTTCCCAGTTTTTCCATTCTAACGGGTAAACTTCGAAAAGCGATTTCTCATTCACCCGTTATCCGTTTTGAGCGTACTATATATCGAATTGTAGCCCTTAACAAGGACAATCCGAAACCACTTTGACCCGACCCAAATCGGAAGTGGACCCCACTCAAAAATTGCCGCAAAATAGCCATTTAATGCAATTTTCACACATTTTTCCAACATTATCTTTGATATATATAGTCACACACACAAGCGCACACACACATATGACTATCTTCTTAATAGGAAGATATTGTGTGGGTGTGGTATTGCAGCGGTTCCGGGCCGGTTCCGGCATTTGTTTATTGTTAGAAAATTATTATACTCATCAACAAAATCAACTCGGAATCATATCAAATTTCATAAAAAATGTCCAATTCCTGTCACGACGTCCTGACCGGAACCCCCGTGCAGACAACACCATCAGAGGGTCTTCCCAGTGGAATTTTTTGATGAAATGTTTTCGAGCATGTTCCTCATCAAGTCTAGTCTATTCATTCAAAGTTTCAGCTCAAAATTCAATCGGGAAGATAGTTAAAAAATTCTTGAAACATACTGCGTTTTATATATGTACAAAATGTGCTGTAAGAGAAGAGCTGTCACTTGAAGTGGCGGCTTTTGTACTGTAAGAGAAGAGCCGCCACTTGAAGTGGCGGCTTTTGTACTGTAAGAGAAGAGCCGCCACTTCAAGTGGCGGCTTTCCTTAACTACGGTTAACCCAACAGTATTTTGGGAATTATTTTTAACCCAACAGTATTTTGGGAATTATTTATTTAATTAGCATTATTTCGGGAAAAAACTCGTTCTATATGGTGCCAAACTTTAGGTACTACCTCTGTCCCTATTAAAGCTTCCAAATAGGTTGGACACACAGTTTAAGATAGTGGCTATTGTGTTGTGGAGAGTTGTGCAAAGTAGAGAGAAATGTGTAAGAAATATTGTAAACCACAAATTCTTTACCAAAAAGGGAAAGTGAAAGTTTTAATTGAGACGGATGAAAAATGAAAGTTGGAAGTTTATTTAGGGACGGAGGAGTATTATATATGTACTGCTTTAGTACTTTACCATGAAATAAAAAGAACTATCATTCTCTAGAAAAGAATGATCAGAAGAAAAAACTGCCATTTGGTATGTCCAAATAGGCTGAATAACCTGAAAAAAGCAAAACATGTTAACACTAGATAATTTACAAAATACGTCAAACTCCATTGTTTTAGAATTATTCGTGCGCCAAATCCTCTAAATGTAAATTTGAAATCATTTATCTTAATAATATGATTGCATATATATATATATATATATATATATATATATATATATATATATATATATATATATATATATATATATATATATGTAAGTAGCTTTGTTAAGATGTCTAAATTATACAAAAATGCTAATCATTTTTCATTTATTATTTGGTAATTAAATTTGTACATCAAAGGAATTTTGCGCACGAATAATTGTAACACATGAGGGTTTGACGCATTTTTAAATCACTGATGATTAATGCGCCGAATTTATAATTCACAAGAGGATTTAGTGCATTAAACCCATCAAATAATTAACAATATAGCAATTTGTTCATTCTATTTAACTTTTTGCATTTTGCTTTAGTAATACACAAATGCTGCTTTAGTGTTGGATTCGGTTCGGGCCACCCGGCCTGGCCCGCTACTGTGCGGGCCCGGGACCGGCCCGATCTGACGGTCCGCGTGTATACCCGAACCGGGGGTGTAGGGCGGGGCGGGCTCGGTTCTTACAAAAGGTGACCCGGCCCGACCGAGTTGGGCCTGGGTCCAATGGTAAGATTAAAAACAATCTTTTGGGCTCAAAAGAGCCTTTACCCTTAAGAATCTTAACTCCATAAGGGGGGAGTCCCTTTATAAAGGGTAGAAAATCCCTTGGGTTTTCCGGTGTGGGAAATTAACACACTAGAAACCCATCCTTTTTCCCAGTTTTTCCATTCTAACGGGTAAACTTCGAAAAGCGATTTCTCATTCACCCGTTATCCGTTTTGAGCGTACTATATATCGAATTGTAGCCCTTAACAAGGACAATCCGAAACCACTTTGAACCGACCCAAATCGTAAGTGGACCCCACTCAAAAAATTGCCCCAAAATAGCCTTTTAATGCAATTTTTCACACATTTTTTTAACAATCCCCCACATGAATGAAAATTGATTTTCGAGACTTACAAAAAGACACGAAGATAGGAGGACACGTTGTGTTCACCGGATGATCCTTGTATACGGAGAGGTAGGTTTAATCATTTGAACCTTCCGCCGTAAAGACACGTTTATTTACTGGCTGTCTAGTAGACTCGATGTCTTTGAACTATACCGCCGTCGTGTAAACATTGACTTATCTTTACACAAGAACCTTCCAACTTTGTTCCGTTCTCATGGGTGTGCCCGTTTTGGCCATGGGTCACCGTCCTGGTTCTGCAAGAGTTTCTAAAGAACTGAGCCATTACAGTTCTCCTTTGAAGCGGCCCTCTTCTCTCTCACATAGGTGATTCTTTCATGAGTATCCCGCATACTCTTCCAATGTTATCGAGTAGATCAACATTTTAGAATCATTAAAGCAAACGTTTTTGCTAACCTCGTGCGGGAGTCACTGTTTCAACGAGGAGTGGGTAGGAGTCCGGGACCCCCACAGTGACCATCCTTCGCTCTATAATTTAGTTGTCCCATTTGAACCTAGGACCAACTAGGTTGGGTATCCACTATAGAACTTTTCAATTCACGGGCTTTAATCCCATTCCTCGTGACAACTTCTCCAACAATTCTCTATCCAATGCCTTGGTTAGCGGATCCGCTATGTTATCCTTTGACTTCACGTAGTCAACAGTGATAACACCCGTTGTGAGAAGTTGTTTAATGGTATTATGTCTACGACGGACGTGTCTAGACTTACCATTATAGAGATTGCTCTGTGCCCTTCCAATTGCCGCTTGACAATCGCAATGTATGCATATTGGAGGGACAGGCTTCTCCCAACTTGGAATATCCTCGAGAAAATGGCGTAGCCATTCAGCCTCTTCAGTGCACTTATCCAAGGCTATTAGCTCAGATTCCATCGTGGATCTAGCTATTAATGTTTGTTTCGAGGATTTCCACGACACGGCTGCACCTCCCAAAGTGAAAACATATCCACTTGTGGACTTTGAGTCCTTAATGTCAGATATCCAACTAGCGTCGCTATACCCTTCAAGTACAGCTGGATATCTTCCGTAGTGCAGTCCAAGGTTTTGGGTTTTTCGTAAATACCTCAAAACCCTTACTATTGCCTTTCAGTGGTCGTCACCGGGGTTGCTAGTATATCTACTTAGCTTACTAACCACAAAGGCAATATCAGGCCTGGTACAACTCATTAGATACATTAAACTGCCAATAATCCTAGCGTATTCTACTTGAGAAATACACTCTCCACGATTTTTGGTCAGATGTACGTTTTTATCTAATGGCGTCCTTGCCTCTTGATAATCATCCTTATTAAATTTAGTAAGGATTTTATCCACGTAATGGGATTGGCTTAGCGTCAGACCCTCAGGTCCTCTAATTATTTTAATCCCAAGGATTAAATCGGCCAGCCCCATATCCTTCATGTCGAATTTAGAATTTAACATGCTTTTGGTAGAATTAATCATAAGATTATTGCTACCCACGATGAGTATATCATCCACGTATAAACATA